CTTCTGAAGTCTGATTCTGTCATTTCATCACCCTCCTTCTCCATCCGGTCTGGTTCCCTTGCTGGTGAGGAGTTGTGATCCCTTTTAGGAGGAGAGGTGTTCTGGTTTCGGGAGTTTTCATCCTTTTTGCGCTGGGTTCTTCCCATTTTTGTGGGTTTATCCACCTGTTGTCTGTCTCTGTCCCAGGGAGTTGGAGCTTTATGAGTTTCCCTTGCACTACTGCCTTTTTTGATTTTTCTTTCAGGTCGGACCCGCCCAGCTAGCAGCACGCCTAGCCACTGCCTGCCCACAGGGGCTTTGCTGAGCTGCTGTGGGCTCCGACCAGCTGCCCTGAGCTCTTCCCTGTAGTCCTTTTTATATGGGCGTAGTTAGAACTGTCTCGGCAATGGTGGCCCCGCCTCTGTTATGGTGGACTCTCTCTGTTGTGGCAGGTTGCCTCGGCAATGGCGGGTTGCCTCGGCAATGGCAGCCTGCCTCCGTAGCGGTGGAGAGTCTCAGTAATGGCGGAAGCCCCTCCCCCACGGAGCCGGACCGTCCCGGTTCAGCTGTGCTTGGTTTGGAGGGCTCAACCCAGAGGGTTTCCAATTACTGTTTTTGTTTTCGTTGTTGTTGGGGGTGGAGGGATGGGACCAACCGAGCCTGATCACCTGGCTCCCTGACTCAGAGTCTTTTCTTTTAAGTTGAACAACCCCGCGTTCTGGTCGCTTGTTGAAAAGGCGCCGGGATCTCCCGTGCTGCGACTCACGGAGTCGGCTCGAACTGCGGCGCCGACTCCTGGCGGATTTTTTGCCTAGGAATCTCCTGGCCTGACTCGCTATTTCAGATGAATGGGCTATTCTGCCGTCTCAGGGCTCTGCTCGCCAGCTAAGAGGGCTCCCAGACCATTGGCTTTTGTACGGAGAACCGCAGCAACAGGGAGTGGTCACAGCAGCCGCGCGGGTGGAATCAGCCCCCCGGGGGCCAAAACAGCCGCACCGGCTGGGACTGCGACACTGGCGACCCCTCTGCCTGGGTATCTCCTGGTCTGTGGGCAATAAGAGTTTGTCTGGAAATGCGGCATCCACTCACCCTCTGCACTTTCACTGGGAGCTGAAGTCCTGAGCTGTTCTTAGGCGGCCATCTTCCCAGCATTCCAGAAATATAGTTCTTAAAACATAAAACATAAATACATATCTTTAACAAGAGAATGAAAATGAACCCTCTAATGTAATTCTGACTTGAGCCTCTCACATTTATTTATCATTTAAGTATTTTTTTTTTAACATTATTCCCTTTGTTTCAGTTAATCTATGTTGTACATACTGCTTAGGAAATAAAACACACTAATGGTTTCAGATTTTCTTTTGGAAAGACAAGAGTTTGTATAACTTTTTGGAGAGTCTCAGCTTTAGAAAAGTTATTAGTTTCGTTTTGTAATATTTTGTAAGAATCTCAAAGATTGGTTTCAGAGTTTTTATTTCATAATGATGTTTTCAAGTCTCCACAACTGCAAATGAACTCCTAAGCTTTTTAGTAGTCTATATAGTTATTAGGTGGTTGTGAAATTATGTTATCCTGGAAGAAAAAAACCCTTGATTCAAGTCCTAGAATGTTTTCAGTCTTTGTTATACCTGAAGGGGAAAAAACAGTATTAACTGTAAATGTAGTTAAAGAATTATATGTATATAACAATAGAGCACTCCTGATAATTTTTATTTACCAGATTTTCGGACTTAAAACCAACTTTCCATCAGAGAAGCCTCCTTGATAGTTACTCTGCTCATGAAACAGATCTGGGCTCCACGCCAGGGAAGGCAAACAGAAATCACAAGTGTCCAGCCCTCCGTGCTAGAGTGGTAATTGTCAGCCGGACTGTCCCAGCACCAATAGAGAACACTTCACAGTTATGGCACTGAAATCCTTTGATAGTAGATTGTGTTGCTGTTAGCCCTGGTTTCAGTGTTTTACAAGTCTTGCTTATTATCTCATTGGTATTTAGGTATACAAAACAGTTGATTATTCACCAAGCAAATTTCTGGTTCTCTGTATCTCATGTATAACAGAAAATGGGAACAATAGGGAACTTTATTTACAGCATGAAAATAAACCTGGTGGCTGGAGTCTAAAAAAATAAATAAATAAATAAAATAACAGGAAAATTCTGCTGAGTATCTACAATGTAATGATACTAACTAAAATTTTATGCATTTCTTCATTTATCTAACAAATGTTTATTGACTCTTGGCAAGTATGAATATAGTGGCCAACAAGAGAGAGAGAGTTCTTGTCTCAAAGAGCTTGTATTTTATTGAGGGAGGCAGGTGATAGATGAAACAAGTAGGATAGTTAGAAATAGTGATTAATTCTGTGAAGAAATAAAACAGGATAATGTGATAGAGAATGATGGAGTGGTGGTGACAGCCATTAAGTATGGTGGTCAGGAAAGGTCTCTTGGAGGAATTGATGTTTGAACTGAGAGCTGAATGACACTGAAATTAGAGCAATTGTGAAGACATGGGTAAGTTTGAAGAATAGAATGAAGGCCTGTGTAGTTGAGTTTGAGAGAGTGGGAGAGTGGAAGAAGAGTTTGAAGGAGGAGGAGACCTTGGAGAATCTTATATACTTTGTAAGAAGTTTAAATTTTATGTTAAGTATAATAGGAAGCCATTGGAAAGTTTTTTCTGTTTATTCCTAAATATATAATATTTATGATCTTATGTCAAATGTCGAGATATTTTATATTTATACTTACAATTTATATCAAATGTAGAGGTATTTTACATATTTAGTAGCCTAGAGTCAAGAAATTCAAATTTCTTAACACATTTTTTTTTTTAATCAAATCTCCCTCTGTCACCCAGGTTGGAGTGCATTGCCATGATCTTAGCTCACTGCAGCCTCCACCTCCCAGGATCAAGTGATTCTCCTGCCTTAGCCTCCTTAGTAGATTACAGGCGTGCTTACCTGGCTAATTTTTGTATTTTTAGTAGAGACGAGGTTTCACCATGTTGGCCAGGTTGGTCTTGAACTCCTGACCTCAGGTGATCGTCTTGCCTTGGCCTCCCAAAGTGCTATAATTCAAGTGCTTTGGATGGCTGAGACAGGAGGATCACTTGAGCCCAGGAGTTCACGACCAGCTTGGGCAACATAGCAAGATGCCTGTCTCCACAGAATATTTAAAAATCGGCCATATGTGGTGGCATGCGCCTGTAATCTCAGCTGTTCAAGAGAATGAGGTAGGAGAATCATTTCAACCCAGGAGTTGGAGGCTGCAGTGAGCTATGACTGCACCATTGTACTTCAGCCAGGGCAACAGAGTGAGACCTTGTCTCTAAAACAAACAAACACAATCAAATGAATGAAAATTAAAACCTAAGTATAAGTACTATAGAGATTTGTAAAAGTCATAAAAGAATACTGTAAGTAACGTCCATCAACAAATTTGAAAATAGAGATAAACTAGATAGTTTTCTGGAAGAATATAAACTACCAGAATTAACTCAAATAGAAATACAAAACCTGAATAAACCAATAACCATTAAAGAATTTGAAATCATAGTCAGCAGTTTTCCCTCTCTCCTCTCCTCCAATGAAGAATACTAGTCTGAGACCATTTTACAAATGACTCTTATCAACTCTCAACAAATATATAATTGTTTAATAAAATAGGATTAAAGAGAGAGAATGAGGGGAAAGAAAAACGGTTAGATAGATGAAAGAAAAACCCCATTATTTTATGAGACTGGTGTAATATTGATACAAACACCTGATAAGAACCATACAAACAAATAAAATTATAGACCAGTCTTACTTATGAGTGGTTGTAGAAATCCTAAATAAAATATTAGCAAATCACTCTGAGAATGGAAGAATAGTTCAACATCTGAAAAATCTGTTATTGTAATCTCCACATTCATAGATAGCAGGAAAAAATCCATATTATCAGTTTTATTCATTTCATTTTGTTTTTGAGACAGGGTCTTGCTCTGTCACCCAGACTGGAGTGCAGTGGGATAATCACATTTCACTGTGGCTATAACCCTCCCAGGCTCAGGTGATCCTCACAATTCAGCCTCCCAACTAGCAGGGCCAATAGGTACATAGCACCATGCCCAGCTAAGTTTTTTAAAAAACATTTTGTACAGATGGGATCTTGCTGTGTTGCCCATGCTGGTCTTAAACTCCTGGGCTAAGCAGTTGTTCCACATTGGACTCCCAAAGTGCTGGGATTACAGGCATAAGCCATCATGCCTGGCCTTATTTTTTTAAGGACAAGTTCTTGCTCTTTCCAGGCTGGAGTGTAATGGCATGATCATAGCTCATTGCAACCTTGAAATCCTGGACTCAGACAATCTTCCCACCTCAGCCTCCTAAGTAGCTGGGACCACAGGCACATATTACCATTCCTGGCTAATTAATTTTTATTTTTTTAGAGATAGGGTCTTTCTATGTTGCCCAGGCTGGTTTTGAATTCCTGGATTCATGCCATCCTCCCACCTGAACCTCCTGAGTAGCTGGGATTACAAGTACAAGTTACTGTGTCCAACTCATGTAATCATTTTAATACATATTAGAAATGAATCCATAAAAAACTAATAACTCATAATTTTTTTCAATGGAGAAAATCTGGAAAAGAAGTAAAATTTCTAAACCACAGTAATTGTTTTCATTAAAACATTAGCAGGTAACATTTCTAATAGTGAAATTTAGAAGCATTCCCATTAATATGAAGTATAGAATAAAATAGGATAGAAGCATTCCCATTAAAATGAAATGTAGAATCAAGTATAGAATATTCACTTTCAACATTACTATTTCAACATTGCTTCGTAGTTCCTAGCCAATGCAATCTGACAAAAATAAGAAATGAGATAAAGAATATGAAAACTTCGCCCCGCGCGCCGGCCCTATGGAGCCGGCCGGCCGGCCTGGCTCCCCTCCCCGGCCCCGACGGGCGGGCGGGCGGACTGCCCTGAGGAGGCGGGGAGGGGAGGGATGGGCCAGCCGGCAGGCAGGCAACGATGCCGAACTTCTGCGCTGCCCCCAACTGCACGCGGAAGAGCACGCAGTCCGACCTGGCCTTCTTCAGGTTCCCGCGGGACCCGGCTAGATGCCAGAAGTGGGTGAATTGTAGGAGAGCAGACTTAGAAGGTAAAACACCTGATCAGCTAAATAAACATTATCGATTATGTGCCAAACATTTTGAGACTTCTATGATCTGTAGAACTAGTCCTTATAGGACAGTTCTTCGAGATAATGCAATACCAACAATATTTGATCTTACCAGTCATTTGAACAACCCACATAGTAGACACAGAAAATGAATAAAAGAACTGAGTGAAGACGAAATCAGGACACTGAAACAGAAAAAAATTGATGAAATTTCTGAACAGGAACAAAAACATAAACCAACAATAGCAGTCCTCAGAATCCCAGTGAAGAAGGGGGTGAAGGGCAAGATGAGGACATTTTACCTCTAACCCTTGAAGAGAAGGAAAACAAAGAATACCTAAAATCTCTATTTGAAATCTTGATTCTTATGGGAAAGCAAAATATACCTCTGGATGGACATGAAGCTGATGAAATCCCGGAAGGTCTCTTTACTTCAGATAACTTTCAAGCACTGCTGGAGTGCCGGATAAATTCTGGTGAAGAGGTCCTGAGAAAACGCTTTGAAACAACAGCAGTTAACACATTGTTTTGTTCAAAAACACAGCAGAGGCAGATGCTAGAGATCTGTGAGAGCTGTATTCGAGAAGAAACTCTCAGGGAAGTGAGAGACTCACACTTCTTTTCCATTATCACTGATGATGTAGTGGACATAGCAGGGGAAGAGCACCTACCTGTGTTGGTGAGGTTTGTTGATGAATCTCATAACCTAAGAGAGGAATTTGTAGGCTTCCTGCCTTACGAAGCTGATGCAGAAATTTTGGCTGTGAAATTTCACACTATGATAACTGAGAAATGGGGATTAAATATGGAGTATTGTCGTGGCCAGGCTTACATTGTGTCTAGTGGATTTTCTTCCAAAATGAAAGTTGTTGCTTCTAGACTTTTAGAGTAATATCCCCAGGCTATCTACACACTTTGCTCTTCCTATGCCTTAAATATGTGGTTGGCAAAATCAGTACCTGTTATGGGAGTATCTGTTGCATTAGGAACAATTGAGGAAGTTTGTTCTTTTTTCCATCGATCACCACAACTGCTTTTAGAACTTGACAATGTAATTTCTGTTCTTTTTCAGAACAGTAAAGAAAGGGGTAAAGAACTGAAGGAAATCTGCCATTCTCAGTGGACAGGCAGGCATGATGCTTTTGAAATTTTAGTAGAACTCCTGCAAGCACTTGTTTTATGTTTAGATGGTATAAATAGTGACACAAATATTAGATGGAATAACTGTATAGCTGGCCGAGCATTTGTACTCTGCAGTGCAGTAACAGATTTTGATTTCATTGTTACTATTGTTGTTCTTAAAAATGTGCTATCTTTTACAAGAGCCTTTGGGAAAAATCTCCAGGGGCAAACCTCAGATGTCTTCTTTGCAGCCGGTAGCTTGACTGCAGTACTGCATTCACTTAATGAAGTGATGGAAAATACTGAAGTTTATCATGAATTTTGGTTTGAGGAAGCCACAAATTTGGCAACCAAGCTTGATATTCAAATGAAACTCCCTGGGAAATTCCGCAGAGCTCACCAGGGTAACTTGGAATCTCAGCTAACTTCTGAGAGTTACTATAAGGAAACCCTAAGTGTCCCAACAGTGGAGCACATTATTCAGGAACTTAAAGATATATTCTCAGAACAGCACCTGAAAGCTCTTAAATGCTTATCTCTGGTACCCTCAGTCATGGGACAACTCAAATTCAATACATCAGAGGAACACCATGCTGATATGTATAGAAGTGACTTACCCAATCCTGACACGCTCTCAGCCGAGCTTCACTGTTGGAGAATCAAATGGAAACACGGGGAAAGATATAGAGCTTCCATCCACTATTTATGAAGTCCTCCACCTGCCTGACATCAAGTTTTTTCCTAATGTGTATGCATTGCTAAAGGTCCTGTGTATTCTTCCTGTGATGAAGGTTGAAAATGAGCGGTATGAAAATGGACGAAAACGTCTTAAAGCATATTTGAGGAACACTTTGACAGACCAAAGGTCGAGTAACTTGGCTTTGCTTAATATAAATTTTGATATAAAACACGACCTGGATTTAATGGTGGACACATATATTAAACTTTATACAAATAAGTCAGAGCTTCCCACAGAGAATTCAGAAACCTTGGAAAATACCTAAGAGACTTTTAAAAATAGATTTTCTTATATTTTATATTTGGAAGAAAAGTTGTAAGGTGTATGTAGGCCACTTAATCACTAAATATCTTTGCCTATAGGACTTCATTGAATATATTAGCCATTGATAATCTACCTGTTTAAATGGCCCCTATTTGAACTCTCCTGCTTTGAAGGCCTATCTGTTCTTCCAGAAGAGAACACTGAAAGTGCTATGTTTCCTTCTGTGTGATCTCTGCTGGTGGCACTCTGGAATTCTTTTAGTTAAGTCATTTTAGACATAGCATTTATTATCACTGTGGATCTCTACTTGTTGGGTGTTATGAATTCTTTGAAGAAATATATTTTGAAGAGGTGTGGGAGGAAGAAATACATTTTATAAAATGTTATAGTGAAGCCCACAGTTGACCTTTGACTAATAGGAGTTTTAAGTATGTTAAAAATCTGTACTGGACAGTTATAAGAAATTACTGGAGAAAAGCTTGTGAGCTCGCCAAAAAAGGATTTCAGTGTAGATTCTGTCTTTCTGAAGTGAACTTAAGGAACAAATGACAGTAAAAGTTTGAATGGAGAAGGCTGCCATTGTTCCACATCTCATTGTTGGCTGTTTACATTCCTTTGTGGAGCCTACATCTTCCTACGCTTTTTAGCAGGTATATGTTGAACACTTCTGTTTCATGGTTAAGACAGAATCAAAGGCCATGATTTGTCTGTTGTTTTTTGTGTTTTATTTTCCCTGTCTTTTTCCATGACTTATCTACTGCCTCATCTTGATTTATAAGCAAAACCTGGAAACCTACAAAAATGAGTGTTGTGGTTTATCTAGAAAAATATGGAAAATATTGCTGTTATTTTTGGTGAAGAAAATCAATTTTGTATAGTTTATTTCAATCTAAATAAAATGTGAATTTTGTAAAAAAAAAAAAAAGAATATGAAAACTTCTTTATGAATAACAAAATAAACCCTACACAAGTTGTTTTGAACTTTTGTCAAGAAAATTATAAAACACTGATACATGTAAAGACCTCACTATGTGGCAATATATACCATATTTGTAGTGGAAAGATGTGAAGAAAAATGTGAGTTAGCTCTGATTTAATCTCTGTATTCAGTGTATGTCCAGTCATAATTCCAAGAAAATTTTTCATGGGTCTTGAAAAACTGATTGTAAAATTGATACAGACAAGTAAATAAGAATAGTTAAGAGAGTCCTAGAAAAATATATTGCATCTGATAACAAGATTTACTACAAAATTATAATAGACAGTATGGTTTGATGCTAGGATGGACAAATAGGTCAGTGGAACATAATTGAAAGCCCAGAAACACTTTGAGATCCTTGTGAAATTTTAGTGTAGGAAGGAGACCCTGCAAGTCAACATTTATTTAATAATACTTAGCCTCTATTCAATACACTATTTTAAGCCCTAGTGATAATAACAGTGAATAAAAACAAGTAATAGGCTGGGTGCAGTAGCTCATGCCTATAATCCCAGCACTTTGGGAGGATTGCTTGAGCCCAGGAGTTTCAGGCCAGCCTGGGCAACATAGTGAGACCCCATTTTTACCTAAAAATAAAAAGCTGAACATGGTGGCATGTACCAGTAGCCCTAACTACTTGGGAGGCTGAGATGGGAGGATTGCTTGAACCCAGAAAGTCAAGGCTGCAGTGAGCCATGATTGTACCACTGTACTCTAGCCTGGGTGACAGAGTGAGACCCTGTCTCCAAAAAAAAAAAAAAAAAAAAAAAAAAAAAATTATTAATTTGGGTTGTGAGTACATAAATGTTTGTTACTTTCCATTTTTGTACATCTAAAATATTTTAGCACAAAAAGATGAGTCGTGCTAGCTATGCCAAATACCACAATTTAGTATAAAACTGAGGTAATGAAAACATTATGCTATTTTCTTTGAAAAAGTAGATCAGTGCAACAGAAAGAAGACACACACACAAAAATTAACTTCAGTTCTCATGAATTTTTAAGCTCTTGTCAGTATATGCAAAAAAAAAGGAGTTAAATTATTTGATTTGTCATTTTAAAATATTCTAATGTTTACATATGTTTACTTTAAGAATGATTTAAGGCTACAAATGGAAGCCCAGCGCATTTGCCTGTCTCTGGTTTATTCAACTCATGTGGATCAGGTTCGTGAATATATGGAAAATGAAAAAGATAAAGCTCTTTGCAGTCTTAAAGAGGAGCTTATTTCTGCTCAAGAGGAAAAGATCAAGGAACTTCAGAAAACACACCAGTTAGAGCTACAGAATATAAAAACAGAAGAAACAGGTAAAATGGTTTCTGACTTATAAGTACCATGATGCAAGTAAGTGTGGGATAGAGCCCACCGTTTTATAATTTCTTCCTTGTCATAGAACCCATAGAGGAAGATGACGTCTGTATTGCAGTCCTTGATCCATTTGCTTATATAATCACTAGACATTCATTTAAGTGCTTGAGAAGGCTGAACTCACTGAGTCATTTTCCCATAGCAAGTTACAATCCATTGAGAAAGCATATATAAATAAACAATTTCTGCAACAGAAGAATGAATAGAAAGAATGGGAGGATAAAGGAGAAACATCTAGTGCTTCCTGGCAGGATGATTATGGTGAGGTGGTGGACAGAGTAGTGGGGTTGGAATTTTAAGGGAGACTCTGGAGTCTTTAGAATTGAGGTGTAAGGGTACACCTATTTTGGAAAATTGAGAGTTCGAGGTGTGTGAGAAAATAGCTAGAGAGATTGGTAAGAGCTTGATTAGAAAAAGTTTTATTCTGAAAGAAGCATGGATAAGCTTTCTGCTGTTGGTGGTAAGACCTACTGCAGTATTTTAAATGCTGAGAGTAATACAATATGGTTTTATTTTATGATGACACCACTGGGGTGAGTTGGGGAGGTGAGATTAGTGATTAGAACACCAGTTAAGCAACTAAGGTTGTCGTTTCCGTAAACAGTAAGATATTAACTAAATGTCAATGAGGATGGAAAGGAAGTTTGCTTTCAAAAGTAGAAATTCGAGAGTGGCTTAAATAAAACCAAATGTTTTAATTTCAGGAGTGCTTGGGGTTTGAATTTTTTTGTTTGTTTGTTGTTTTGTTTTGTTTTTGAGACGGAGTCTCACTCTGTCGCCAGGCTGGAGTGCAGTGACAAAATCTGGGCTCACTGCAACTTCTGCCTCCCAGGTTCAAGCCATTCTCCTGTCTCAGTCTCCCAAGTAGCTGGGACTACAGGCACACACCACCATTTCTGGCTAATTTTTGTGTTTTTAGTAGAGATGGGGTTTCACCATAATGGTCAGGCTGGTCTCGAGCTCCTGACCTCAGACGATCCACCTGCCTTGGCCTCTCAAAGTACTGGGATTACAGGCATGAGCCACCACACCCAGCCTGAATTTAGTAAGATTTTAAGCATGTGATTGTTTTGTTGATACCCCCTTCAAATAGGGTAGTGTTTTTCAAACTAGAGGCTAATTAATAGGTCAATTAATGGGTGGTGAAGTCAGTTTAGTGAGTAATGATCATTTTTTAAAAAGTAGAAGGAAACATTGGAGTACATAGCACTACAGTAGAAGAGTAAATATTGATTTGTGAAATTTTTATTTCAGTTTTACATAGATGTATGTACTAGGTTATGATACACGATGCATTTTTATGTTGGGTTGTAGTAAAAAGAAGTTACTGCTTTATACCATTTTGGTGATAGAAATGGAAAATCTCAAAAATTTTCTGAGAATGTTGAGCAATGGAAAATAACTCAAAGAAATAAAGAATTTAAAATGATTGTTATTGCAGGGAAGCTTCTAATTGAAACATAGTTCTTAAGTATATAAATGGAATGTCTTAATGCATTGTCTGATCTATTAGGTGATGAAGCAAAGCCTTTACATCTGCTCATTGGAAAACTTCGAAAGGCAGTGTCTGAAGAATGTTCTAATTTTTTACAGGTAAGATGTTAAAAAGTACTTTCACCGTCAGTTGTGGTGGCTGATACCTGTAATCCCAGCATTTTGGGAGGCTGAGGTGGGCAGCTCACTTGAGTTTGAGACCAACCTGGCCAACATAGTAAAACGTAGTCTCTACCAAAAAATACAAAAATTAGTCCAGCGTGGTGGTGTGTACCTGTAGACCCAGCTACTTGGGAGACCGAGGCATTGGAATTACTTGGGCCTGGGAGGCAGAGATTGCAGTGAGTAGAGATCATGCCACTGCACTCCAACCTGGGCAGCAGATTGGGACTCTGTCTCAAAAAAAAATAATAAAAATTTTTTTTAATGTTTAAAAAGTTCTTTTACACAAGGAGTGCTAAATTATAAGTTCCTACTAATTTGGTGATCATCCAGCCTAGTTTTCTTCATTACCTTACCTCAGAACTGTACTTAGAAAGTATCTCTGAGTTTTTAACTTAAAATTAGCATTAAAAATTTTCCTAATAATCAGTTTGAAATGAAAGAAATTTAGTTAAATTATCTCACATGTAGAATAGACACTAATTGTTGATGTTGCCATAGATGAGTTGCAAGAACAACATGAAGACATCCTGGAAGACTATGTAGAGTAAGCCAAAACACTAAGATGGCACCCATCTTTCTGGGACCCAGTGTCTTTGTCTGTAAATTAGGTGATTGTTTAAGGTTTCTAAAATCAACTCTAATGTGATAAAACTGCATCTTAAAGGCTTTGCTGAAAATTTAATAAAATTTAAAAATTAAAAATTTAATAAAATTTTTGGCCGTATAGTTTAACGTTAAACAAATCTCAAGAAATCTGAAGAAATAGCAATATTAACAATTTGATTTTAAGTCTAGAAGTTGGTGGTGGTAATTTCTAGTTGTATGAGGAACAAAGGTAAAAGTTATTTGAGAGCTTATCAAATGATTGTGGGCATGTATTGTTCTAAATGATGATAGAATTGTCTGTTGCTCAGGAGAAGAACCAGAACAATGTGTCAAATAGTTTCACTTTTTGTGTATGTATATAAATGACATAAAACTATTCTCATGTGTTAGGAATCTTTTTTGTTTTTTTGATTTGAGACAGAGTCTCCCTCTGTCACCCAGGCTGGAGTGCAGTGGTACGATCTTGGTTCATTGCAACCTCTGCCTCCCAGGTTCAAGCTATTCTTGGGCCTTACCTCCTGAGTAGCTGGGATGACAGACGCATGCCACCACACCCCAATAATTTTTGTATTTTTAGTAGAGATGGGCTTTCACCACGTTGGCCAGGCTGGTCTCAAACTCTGGACCTCAGGTGACCCACCTGCCTCGGCCTCCCAAAGTGCTGGAATTACAGGCACGAGCCACCATGCCTGGCCTCACGTGCTATGAATGTTATCTCAAGTATATGAATGTTATCTCTTGCTTGATATAATTTCTTCTTAATTTATAGATTTCTTTCTGATTAGCATTTCTGAACTTTCATCCTTGTCCTGTGGTGTTTTTTCAAAGATATTTGAGATTACAGAGATAACATCAGAAATATGATCCAAACTAGAAAGTAATTTATTAAAGTACAAGATAAATTTTATTACTATAAGGAATCAGAAAAAATTATGGTTTTGTGCCATGAAGAATATCATTATATTCCTGTTATAAGATGATTTCATGCCAGAGAGAGAGAGAAATTTAGACTTCTTTATTTTGCAGATCGATAAGGGTATGGAGAGAATGTTTTCTTAATTATTTTTATGTGTCATTTTGACTGCCTTGCATCTAAGAGAATAATGGTTAATGATCTTAAGAAGCAGAAATAATGTAAATTCCTTAAAATATCCAATTTTGTTGTTAACAGACTTTATGCAATGTCCTTGGTGAATATTATACTCCTACTTTAAAATATGAAGTAAATGCAGAAGAGAGAGAGAATTCTTGTGATTACACTTCTGGAAATGAAGATGCAGAATTGCAAGATTATAGAGATGAAGTTCAAGGTAATAAAAGCTTACCATACTATTAAACAGTATTTAATCCTCTTAAATTAACTGATGACAGAACTTTACTTTTGATTTTGATTTAATCACCCAGACAAGTTCTTTATCATCTTAATATCTTATTCTCCTTGATTCATGAAATCTTATATTTAATATACCTTTTAAATTTTTATGATGTGATAATGGTGACATGAAGATAATTGGAGCTGTCCACTATTGTCTATTTATCCTCTGTCTCTCTACTCCTATCTTTTTCCTTATCCTAATTCTTTTTAACTTTTTATATCATAGATCCAAATTTTTTAAAGTTATTGTATTTATTGAATGAGTTTATATCAATGGTTTATTGCTTTAAAATGAGTAAGACTAACATTGAGAAATTAGAAATATATAGTATCTTTCCTAATATAGACCTGGTATAAGCTCATTTTAACAAATAGTACCCTCACCACTTTTTGGACGTTCTTTCACAGGTAAAATGTTTCCTAGCCCTGTCCGTATGTATAGATAATGAACAAAATGTGTGTAAATTAATGACTACCAAAAGAAATTAACATATGTTAATATGAAATTTTCAAGTTACCTTTGTGGCAGTATTTCACATGAATGATGAGATTTTAATTTTTAGTTACTAAATATCTGAGGTTTATTTCTTACAGGCACTTTTTTTAACTTATAAATAAGTAATATTTATTGAAAGATGCAGACTTTTACTATGGAGTGAAATTATTACAATTATTTGTTTACCATCCAGACTTTCAAGAAAATATGCACACTCTTCTCAACAAAGTAACAGAAGAATACAACAAACTCTTGGTACTTCAAGCACGATTAAGCAAGGTCTGTGAAATGGAGAATGCATTGTAATATTTGCATTTATTGTATTACCTGCTTTTTTGTAAGCTGCTTTTATCAACCAAGAATTTCTAAAATAAGAGAACATGAAAAAGGAGATTAGGAAAAGTGACATATAGTTATAGTACATAATTTATATTGGTAAGCTGATGGAATTTCTGCAAGTTGTATAATAACCCCTTTAGAGAGTTTTTGGAATTAAGATAAGTTAAAATATGTATAATATATCCACTTGTAAACTGTGTGAAACAATTGCATTTAATTTTACGTATAACATAAAGCAGTGGGCCTTTGTTTTAGAGAAAACTGGTAATGAGTTTAGTTGCTTAGCATACAGCTAATTAGTTTCACACAATATTATATATGTCCATTTTATTTTCAAGCAATTTTTTTAAATGTCTGTAAGATTGTTACATGGCACAGTGTAACTTATTAACTATCAGTAAAACAACTTAAGGCATATATTGGCAAGGATAAGTGTAATTCTCATGTAGAAAGAAATGCAGAAATATCTCTGTATCTTTTTATTTGGGGTACTTTTTGACGTTCAGTTAATATTAAAATGTTTAGTAGACAGATTTGAAATATTTAATTGATAGTGAAAGTTACAGTGTTGATGAGTTATATTTTGGCTGAAATTCTTCCTTTCCATCTCTCTCCCCTGCTTTCTTTCCCTCCTGTCTCCTCTTCCCCTCTCTGTTTCTGTGCAATTAAGTACAACCTTATCTAGCCTTTCCAAAAATCTATAAACCTACTCCAGTAGATTTGTATGAGTAGAATCTCTTTTGGTTTCATCTCTTATTTTCTTGTTCATTATTGATGTATGCCTTTTCAATATTATTTACTATCATTAATTGAGTAATGGAAAAGGAGGAGCTTTATTCAGTAATCACAAATGTAAATGCCTACCTTAACTTAGATAATAAAATAAATGAGGAAGACCAAGTAAAACCTGGAGAAAACATGCCTCATCCAAAAGGGGCAGACTGCCAGCTTATGTGACTTGTTGCAATAAGTAGGAATCAGGTCCCAGTGTTGCTAGTACTTTTAATTTATCAATATTATATAATTTTTTTTTTTTTTTTTTGCTTTTAAAAGTATTAGGAAGTATAAACCAGTCATGGTGGCACATACCTAGAATCTCAGCTGCTTGGGAGGCTGAGGTGGGAGGATCACTTGAACCTAGGAATTTGAGGCTGCATGACCTGTGATCGTGCTACTGCACTCCAGCCTGGGCAACAGAGTGAGACCTCATCTCTAAAAATGTAACACACACACACACACACACACACACACACACACACACACAAACACACTTGGATTGGAAATATTCAAAAATAAACAGATTCCATTTTATGGTTGGGAAACAGAAAGCAGCCAGACAACAACAAAAACTGTTTTGTCCCCAAAAGAGCACTTTTATAGACTGGATTTAAAGTTAAAGCCTTTGCTTTGTAACCTCAGGTATAAACGCATGCTCGATATACTATCTTGAACTAGTTTTCCTTTTAATTTAATCTATTATTTCTCAACTGTAGTATTTGCTGCTTTCTGATAACATTTTCTTCCCTTAGTTTTTGTAGCTTTTTAAGCCTCCGTTTTGGACTTTACCTACCATGTTTATAGTTACCAGGGATCTTATTTGATCCTCTTAGTCTGAATTTTTTCATCCATTTTCATTGTTTCTAGATCTCTATGTTTAGGTCAGTCCATCTGAGTTGCATTCATATATCTCATCAGATATCTCTACTCAAATATGTATTAGGTATGCCTCAATCAGCATATTGAAATTTGAATTTATTAACTTTTACTCCTTAAACCACGTTCTCCTCTCATCTCAGTTAAGGATGAGATGAGACTGAGACTGAAGTTCATCATTCAACCAGAAATTTGGGGATTGTCTTAGATAGTCTTCTCTTTTCACTCCTGGTCTTCTTTCATACTGAAATACACACTGAAAGGAGTACAAAGAATATGAAAGCTAAACTTACACTTTGTTCTCATTCAGTTATCTAGTCAATAATTTTTATTTTTATTTTACTTTACTTATTTACTGATTTATGTATTCTTTAGATCTGAGGACAGACTGGACAGCCAATATTTATTATTTGCTAATTAAATGCCAGGTTGTTCTGTGTATTGAAAATAAAGCAATGAAGTCACTAGACAGAAGAAATTTATAAGTTAATGGGATTTATGAACTAGTTTAAGGAATGTCATATACATATATACTGTTTTATATATGTATGTATACACACACACATATATAAAATGGTTTTCCATGGCAACATTTAAGTAGATGTTTAGAAGAAAAATGTAAGGCCAGGCATGGTGGCTCAAACCTGTAACCCCAGCACTTTAGGAGGCCGAGGCGGGCAGATCATCTGAGGTCAGGAGTTGGAGACCAGCCTGGCCAACATGGTGAAACACCATCTCTACTAAAAGAAAAAAAAAAAAAAATTAGCCAGGCATGGTGGCTCATGCCTATAATCCCCACTACTCAGGTGGCTGATGCAGGAGAATCTCTTGAACCTGGGAGGCAGAGGTTGCAGTGAGCCAAGATTGTACCACTGCCCTACAGCCTGAGTGACAGAGACACTCTATCTGTCTATCTATCTATCTATCTATCTATCTATCTAGAAATGTAGATAAATAGGTTTGCTTAACAGGTAGATGAATATAGCAAACAGATAGATGTCTTTTCTGCACAAGGGATAGTAAGTGGATATCATATTTGAACACAGTAAATTAGCTGCAATTACAGAGGCATTTCAGAGTTACTTTGAGATCAAGATCAGGACTGCAGTACATCACTGCCTAGCTTTTTGGCTTCATCTTCTAATCTTCCACCTCACTTCAGCCATACTGAAATACTTAGTTTCCCAAATGCAGCCTGATCTTTGGCACCCTGGGCTTTTTTGCATGCTGCCCTTTCTGACTAATACTGCCCATCCCCTCATAGCCTTTTTGGTTTGTTCCTGCTTGTTCCAGTTGGTTCAAATGTTTACTCCCTCAGTGTCATCTTCTTTGCCTGTCTTCCTAGGCTTAGGCCTTTCTTCATCTGTTTCCTTAGCAACAGTACAGGCCTTGCTTGTCATACTTCTCTTTTTCCTTTATTTTAAATACTTGTTTACACTTCTCTCTTTCTTCCATGTTCCTATAGCTTCTTAAATACATTTGCATTTGTATCACATTTCTTTTCATGTTATAATTATATAATTGTTTGTTTACCATTCTGCTTCTTTCACTATTATTCTTTTTTTTTATTGCATTTTAGGTTTTGGGGTACATGTGAAGAACATGCAAGATTGTTGCATAGGATACACTCGTGGCAGTGTGATTTGCTGCCTTCTTCTCCATCACCTATATCTGGCATTTTTCCCCATGCTGTCTCTCCCCAACTCCCCACCCCCAGCTGTCCCTCCCCTATTTCCCCCCGACAGACCCCAATGTGTAGTGTTCCCCTCCCTGTGTCCATGTGTTCTCATTGTTCAACACCTGTCTATGAGTGAGAACATGCGGTGTTTGATTTTCTGCTCTTGTCTCAGTTTGCTGAGAATGATGGTTTCCAGGTTCATCCATGTCCCTACAAATGACACGAGCTCATTAAACTGGAATCCGGGAATCTTCTGTTTATTTTTATTGCCTCCTCTTAACACAGTGTTAGCACACAATAAAGGCTTAGTAAATGTTTGCTGAATGAGTTAGAAAGGTTGGACTGGAAACTTAATAATTTACCTAATGATCTTTATTTTCTCTGGGAGGTAAGAGGCAAGATCCTCTGTTGAAATGTACTCATGGGGTAGGAGTTGGGTAGAGGATTGATAAGAGTAGTGAATAGTTAAAACAGCTTTCTTGGCAAACAACTGTTTTTCTTTTGCTCACCTGCTTCTACAGTATCCTTTGTTCATCTGGTCTAGAAAGTCCACACTGTTTCCCCTTGCTTTTAAAGTCTTCCGTAATTTGGATCTATCTTGTTTAACTAGCTTTATTTCCCCCTCCTTATCCAAATTAAACCCTTCTCAAGAAGATCATTGTCAATTACACCAAAGGTCATTCTTTCACAAATACTCTCAATCTTTCTTTCTTATAGCCTTCCCAAATCACTGCCAAAAATATATGAGGCCTAAATCAAAATGGACTTCCATAATTATTTAGATCCACATCAGTCTTCTGTGTCATTGTTGTTATAGTCAAATTTTATAGTTTAGTCCTTCTCTAATTGTTTATTTTCCCAACTGATTGATGTATTCTATGCGGGCAGATATATTGTTGTTTTTTTTTTTAATAGATTTTATATTTTTACTCTTGTCACAGTGCTGGTCACATTGGTTATTAAGTATTTGATGAATGAATAAATGAGTACACATAGGTATCTGACATATTGCTGTTTAGTTTGTTTATTTTATTTTATTTTAAGATAGAGTTTTGCTCTTTCTCCCAGACTGGAATGCAGTGGCACAATCTTGGCTGACTGCAACCTCCTCTTCCCAGGTTCAAGCAGTTCACCTGTCTCAGCCTCCCGAGTAGTTGGGATTACAGGCATGCACCACCACACTGGGCTAATTTTTATATTTTTAGTAGAGATGGGATTTCACCATGTTGACCAACCTGGTCTCGAACTCCTGACCTCAGGTGGTCCACCCACCTCAGCTTCCCAGAGTGCTGGGATAACAGACTTTCTGCTTAGTTTTAATAGTTAAGGAAATAAGCTGAGATTTATCTGTTGTCATTATTTTCTTTTCTTTTGTTTACTGTACAGAGCAGCATACCATTTGTCAGTTACCTGGTTGTACATAGGATATATCTAGAGATAAATAAGCTGTATTAATCAAGTATTGATAATATATTATGTATGAATGGAAATTTCAAAGACCAAGTTATATTATAAATGTTATCAGCTTTCTACCAAAATTCTCAGAAGCACTTGTTTTTGTAGTAAAATAAACTTCCTTTAGATATCAAAGAACATTACTAATATAAGTTCAGTGCTATGACAGAAATGGAATATGAATTACTGTTACAGAAGAGAATAACTTAGAAGGGAAAACCCTTGTGTCAGAGTGTCACAATTTTGGGTGGTTTTTAAAAAGCATCTTAAATGCGGAGTTGCTTTAATACAGTTTTCAAATTGCTTTTATTCTGTGATTTTCAATAGATTTGGGGACAGCAAACAGATGGTATGAAACTTGAATTTGGAGAAGAAAACCTTCCAAAAGAGGAAACAGAGTTTTTATCAATCCATTCTCAGATGACCAATCTGGAAGACATTGGTAAATTTTGATCATATACCATAATGTGGTGTTTTTATACCAAATATTCAGTAATTTGCTTTTTTACTTTAAAATTTGAGCTAATGTAGTGATGTTGGGCCTTTCACTGTTGCCTCTCTGATCTCAACTTTTTCATCCTTGAAAGATTTAGACTACTTATATTTTTGGTCCTTTCCCACTTCTTAAGTTCTATGATTCTAAATTGTTTTAAATTTTAAAGATACAAAATTGTTGAATTTAGGAGTACTACAGCAGGAGGAGCAAAAGGAAGATCTTGAATTGTACTATTTGTTTTCTCGTTTTTATCAGAATGAGTTTAAATTGAAACCAGAGTTATTACCACTAAAAACATACTTTTTTAAAAAATTAATATTTCTGCACACACAGTGATTGTGGTATTTCACTAAGAAACTTACTTGAAATGTGTATTTTTGTCTCTTTATATAACATAGATGTCAGTCATAAAAGCAAGTTATCTTCTCTGCAAGATACTGAAAAAACTAAACAACTTGAAGAACAAGTTCAAGAATTAGAAAGCCTCGTATCCTCTTTGCAGCAACAATTGAAAGAAACTGAACAAAACTATGAGGCAGAGATCCACTGTTTACAGAAGCTTCAAGGTGTTAGTGAGTCCACAGTTCCGCCAAGGTATTCATCTGCATATGGCTTCATTCAACAGTATTTGTAGCTTTGTAACAATTATACTATCATCCAGAACAGTTATTTTAAAAAAATATATAACTTAAGGAAAGTTCCTTGAAAAAGATAGGATGTAGCATTTTTAAGAAAGAAGAGCAGGAGATCATTCTTTATCTTTGAAATGCATGAAATAAATATTGATGTAAAACAAAGACATTCTATTATAGGAATTTTACTTACATTTATACTTTATAAAGATGTTGGTTGTTACGAATCTGCTTAATTAAATCAGGCAATGTGCATGTATTTGTAGTTTATTCTGTGCCTAATCTTTGCTACTTTGATACGTTGAGTACTTAAGGAATGTAAGATAATGATCATTCCAGTCATGACAAGATTTCTTCCACTTTGTTGTCTCATGTTGTAATTCACTATATCCAAAGTAGAACTTTAGATCTTTTCAAAATCTGCCCCTTCTGCAGCTATATCCATCTGTCATTATTCCTCTTTCTCTTCTACTTCTCTTTTAGTCTATCAAGAAATTCTATTTTCTCTATCTTCAAAAATATATCCAAACTGTACCACGCCTCACAACCGTGGTCTCTGCCATTCTTTTATCTCACCTGGATTACCCTAACTCCTCCCTAAAGTCTGTTCTCAACACAGATAAAACAGGTGCCAGAATCTTGCTTTTAAAATTTAAAGTTGATTATATTATTCCAGTGCTCTTCCTTCCTACATGATGAGTACCCGTTAATTTTCTGACTTTTAATCTCCTACTCACTTGTCTGTCACTGTTCTAAACCACACCAGTATCTTGGGGTCCTCAAACAAGCATTATCAATATGCTTCTGCTTGAGGAACTTCTCATTAGCTATTCCTTCTGCCTGGAATGGTCTTCCTCCAGATATATGCGTAGCCAACACCCTCACCTCCTTTGGATGGTTACTCAAGTTTCATGTTCTCATGAGGCTTTTCTTAATCTCCCTGTGTAAATTAAAATTGTCTCCTAGAACACTGATTCCTAGTTCCCTACTTTGCTTTTTCTAAATTACTTAATATTGTCTATTTTTATATATGTACATATTATATACAGTTTATATATATATAACCAGGCCTGGCATGGTGGCTTATGCCTGCAATCCCAGCATTTTGGGAGGCTGAGGCAGGCAGATTACCTGAGGTCAAGAGTTTGAGACCAGTTTGGCCAACATGGCGAAACCTCATCTCTACTAAAAATACAAAAATTAGCTGGACATGGTGTTGTGCACCTGTAATCCCAGCTACTCTGGAGGCTGAGGCATGAGAATCGCTTGAACCTAGGAAGCAGAGCTTGTAGTGAGCTGAATTCACACCATTGCACTCCAGCCTGGGTGATTCAAAAAAAAAAAGTGTGTGTGTCTGTGTGTGTGTGTGTCTGTGTGTGTGTATGTCCACATATATGTTAATTTGGAGGGGTAGATTCCTTTTTATTTTGTTATTGTTTGTCTCTGGTAAGGAACTTTAAGCTTTATAAGGGTGGGGCTCTTTTTCCATTTAGATCATTGATATATCCCAAACACCTAAGACAATCTCCCTGCACATAATACATACTCAATGTTTAATGAATGAACAGTTTATAATTTTGTTGAGAAGTATGCTGTAATATGTAACTAGCTCTATAAAAGCCTCAGATTTATTCTAACTTCGGTTGGCTCTGCTATTCTAGCACTGATGTCTTCATAGGCACTTGCTATTAAAATGTCAACATAGTTTTTTTTTGGATAGTGGATGAAATATTCAATGTCTCCTTGTTTGGAACTTGTTGTTACTCTCTTTTATTTGGAGCCTACCTATGCGCTTTGGAATTGTTTGCTTGTACTGGGTACAGCCTTATAAAGCTCCCATTTTCTTTGAGATCGGTGGTTTCTAAACATGACCATACGTCAGAAATAGTGGAAGTTTTTGAACTTTAATATAATTTTTAATAGTTACAATGAAAGATCACTGGATTATAATTTGGAGAGTCATACTCAATAGCTTGGAGATGAAACTTGGAAATTTGTGTTTTTAACAATATAATTCTAAGGCATGGAGCCCAAAGATTGATATTTGGAAACCACCACTTTCTGATATGAAATAAAATAGGTAAATACGAAGAACTTTCTGATAACCAGTCGGTATTTCAAAGTACTCTTCCTTTAATTAATGATGCTTTCTCTCCAAAGCATGAAGAAAAGAGAGGCTTCTGGAAATGTAGGCCTACATTTTTATTCCTGCATTTGGGCTTCTGGCAGCTCACCACCCTCTCTCGGAGTTTCTGTGATATGCTGTGGAAATGTGTTGACATAGCCTTTGCACCAAAATCATTTGTTTGCTCCCTGCACCCCTACCAAAAAGAGTAACCATCCTCATTCTTACGCATAGTAATAAGTGAAAATTATTTTTGTAAATAGTATCACATATTTTGGACACAACTGTAACATATTTTGACTAGAGTATACTGTTCTCTGTGGATAGGATTGAAATAGTTTGAGAAAAATAATTGAACCATTCTTTTAACAAATATTTGGTGGCGTCATACTAGAAACCTCCAAGAGAAACACTGTGAGGCTGTAAAGATCATAGGTTTTAGAGTCAGACAGATCTGCATTTGACCCTGATTTGACCTTTTACTGGCTATATGCTCTTAGACAGATTATTTAAACATCTCTAAATAATAATAGAGATAATAGTAATTACCTTTAAGATTGTGAGGAGGTGCAGTGGCTCACACCTGTAATCCCAGCACCTTGGGAGGCTGAGGCAGGTGGATCACCTGAGGTTGGTCAGGCTGACCAGCATGAGGAAACCCCATCTCTACTGAAAATACAAAATTAGCCAGTTGTGGTGGCATATGCCTGTAATTCCAGCTATTCGGGAGGCTGAGGCAGGAGAATTGCTCGAACCTGGGAGGTGGAGGTTGCAGTGAGCCAAGATTGCGCCATTGCACTCCAGACTGGGCAACGAGAGTGAAACTCCATCTCAAAAAAAAAAAAAAAAAAATTGTGAGGATTAAATGAAACAGTAACTGAGAAGAGCCTTAGCTAGATACCCTGGAGGTAGAATTAGATGTTTATGTAAAGTGGCTATTTCCTTTCAGGACCACAATGTAGTCATTGAAATAATAATTACTTGCAAAATAATTTTTGAAGGTAATGGTTGGGGATACAACATAGTGATATAACTAAAATGCTGGAATTTAAACCCATGTCTTTGTGGCATTTTTCACTGCACATCTGTAATACTGCCTATTAGAGTCATAAGAGCAAAATGGAAATGAAGGATGAATATTAAGATATTGCAACAGAAGGAATGTTGGCAACAAAGCAGAGGGAAAAAAACAAAAATAACTGTGTTGCTTGAGCCTAGAGAATATAGAAAATGAAAATACATCATATAAATAGGAGAATCAAAAGAGGTTGGGGGTAATAGGAGCTTAATTGCAAGAGGGGAACAATGAATTCAGTCTTCACCAGTCTATTTATTTCAATTTGGAGTAAACACCTGCAAATACTGTAAAGCTTAAAGAATGAAGTCATTGTGGACTAAGTAGTACTTTTTGGAATTTAGATCATAATAGCTGGATAGATAATCAGGAGGATTTTCTAGGCTGTGAAAATAAGATCCAAGACATAAAACCAAGGATTAGAGGAGTATATACAAGGGACAGTGAGGAAAACAGAGACAAAATAGTAAGACAGACAGAAGAATCAGGAAAGGGCAGAAAAGAAAGACAAGGGAATTAGTTTTTAGAAACATAGCGTGGCCATAGAACATGAGAAGGTGATTCACAGCAGGAAAAACCTAAATGGCCAATAGCATTGGAAAGAAAGTGTCTTCTCAAAAATAAAGACATATGTGTTCTAGCAAATTTTTACAATTGTTATGACCCCCAATTGCTGAAGTTTTGAGAAAATACTTATGATACTATTATGAGAATGAAATTAATGTAACTTTTTGGAATATGGCCCTGTATTAAAACATTAAACTTAACAGTTACTTATAAGATTTTATCATATAGAAACATCCATGGAAATGTGCCAAGAGAGGTTTCTGAAGATCTGTATTATAGCATTGTTTGTAATGATGAACAATTGGAAGCAATCAAATGGTCACCATTAGGGATTTAACTATATGAGTTATGAAATGGGATGATGACAACTTTTATCTGGCCAGTTTTGGGCAGAATTTAGGGTGGAAAAGAAAAGAAGAAAGAAGGGTGCATGGACAAGAGGAGGGTCAAACTAAGAAGGCAGCATAGTTGCACATAAAAATGGGTGTGGAAAATTGTATTTGCCAAAATGAAAATTATAATTTGCTCCTTTTATCTTTTTCCCATGGTTCCTAAATACTGATCTAACCTTGGTTTTTATGACTCAAGCTAGCATTTTAAGAAAAAAAAATCTTTTAATAGTGAATGCATGTAAAAACTACCACAGTATGGATGTGAATACCAAAAGATAAAACAGTCCAAAAGTGAGTACTTGTAAATTAAGATTCTTCTCCTTACCATCACTCATGAGTTCCACTGGAGGTAAACGTTGTTACTTTTGATGTGCATACATAGGAAGAAAATCAAACTTTTTGTATGCAAACGTACATATATATGTTAAAAGAAGTTTCTCATAAAAGTGAGATTTTACAAACTTTTTAGAAGTTAGTAATGTATCTTAGATAACTTTTAAAAAATGTTTTTGCTGGTCAGTCACAGTGGCTTATGCCTGTAATCCCAGCACATTTGGAGGCTGAGACGAGAGGATCACTTGAGGCCAGGAGTTCAAGAACAACCTGTGTAACATAGTGAGACCCCATCTCCACAAAGAAAAGAGTCCGTACATGTAAAGAGTTCCATATCATACATCTGTAGTGTGGAATGACATAAAATTCAGTTGATGATCTGTTAAAATACTCTGTTACTCAATTGTGTTCTTTTAAGTGGAAATACTAGTCAAAAATAAGATTTAAGTTACAATACTTATAACCCATGACTCATTATTGTCTCCCATGTCCCAGTACATATTTTATGTGTGGTATAGATTTTGGATGAACACTAAAGCACATATGCAACTCTAATTCTTTAACCCTTTTTATTTATATTTAGCTTCTCCATTGATTCAGTGGTAATTACAGAATCTGATGCACAGAGAACAATGTATCCTGGAAGTCGTGTGAAAAAGAATATTGATGGTACAATAGAGGTATTATATTTTTAATATTCATCTTTTAACTGTCATATACACTGATTTTTTTGCTATCATTTTTATGTCTGATTTACTAATAAATAGTTGCTGAGAAGTAAGCATAATAAACATGAGGATAATACCTTATATAGAAAACCCAGAATACCTGTAAAGAATATATATAAAGAATATATATGTAAAGTAATTTAATGTATTTTTATAGCATATGGAAAAACACAGAGGAAGTTAAGTTTGAGGGGTTATATTTCCCTCAAATATGTTATAGTTTAAGATTTGTCTTGTTTTTTGTAACATGCGGGCTATGTAAAAATTAATTTCAGTGCCCTGGCCAACATAGCTGTGTCTTCCCAGCATGGGAAGTTGGACCAGGCCATCTCCAGAAAAGTGTTTAGGAATCCCCAGAATCCAAGACAATAGGGCTGGGATAATAGATCGGCCTACTCCAGTAAGGTCTGTATAGTATACAAAAGTTCCACATTTTTTACAGTGCATGCCGTCTAACTAAACCACCCCCTACCTCTGCTCAACATTGTATTCTCAATTTCTTACACCTGCAGTTTCCTCATACCTGCACCTGCAAAACTCTGGTGTTCATTCAGTAGATTTTTAGCTGTTAAGTTTTAGAAAAAATTAAGATTATCATTATTCCTCACTCAGTAAACAGAGGAAAGATGTTAGACAAATCCTTTAATCCTTGATTCTTCTGTACTCAATCCCATATCATGATAATTGATAAATAAAGACTTTCATACTGAGAAGATATTTACATTTTTTAAAAGTTTATGTTTTTTTCTATTGATAAAAGTAATTTGTATTTGTAGAAAATTAGATAGCATTAATAAGTACCAAGAAGAAAAGAAAATTTGCTTGTAATGTCATGAGCAAAGATAGCCACTTTTTAACATTTTACTTAAAAGGAACTATATATGCACGTAAATATTTTATTAGTTATATTTAAGTATCCTTTTCCCACTCCAGGACTATTCATTAATATTTATAAATATGTAAATATATTTCTCTTTGCATCTTTTATTGTTAAGTTCACAGTAAGTAAATTATTCAGTATAATTACTTACTAGAATTGTTTTTAATTAAGATAATTAAAATTTATTTTTTGCTGAAAGTATGTAGAAATTTTCTAAAAGTACTGATACTTTCAGAACATTTTGAAGTTGAAGTTTAAAAATAAGTGGTGTATAATTAATGTAAATAAACGTAATATTTTGCTTTTAAATGCAGTTTTCTGATGAAGAGGAAACAAATATGGTTAAGTTGTTGGAAAAACAATACCAAGAACGATTAGAAGAAGAAGTAGCTAAGGTAAGCTTATAGCTTATCTGGAAAATTATCTTGATTTATATTCCCTTTGAGCCTTCAAAAATAACATAGATTTTATTTTTATTTTTAGTTATGTTTCATATATAGTTCATCTTTAAGTGGTTGGATAATGATATCAATTATAGTTACCTTTAAACAAAATATTTGGGAATTTTTGAAAGGAGCATTCTTCTTGATGTAGACGATTAATTAGAAGCTTTTCAGAATTCCAAAACAAGTCTATGTATTTGTTACCTTGTCAAAGAGTTTGGTCTTCCCTAAAAGTTGGGGAGAAGATAGGAAAAGAAAGAGAAATTGGTTAGTCCTCTGTATATATTATCTGTATCTATTTCCAATCAGAAATTTTTTTTAATTTTTAAAATTTTTTTTATTTTATTATTTTTTTTCTGAGACGGAGTTTCGCTCTTGTTACCCAGGCTGGAGTGCAATGGTGCGATCTCGGCTCACCGCAACCTCCGCCTCCTGGGTTCAGGCAATTCTCCTGCCTCAGCCTCCTGAGTAGCTGGGATTACAGGCACGCGCCACCATGCCCAGCTAATGTTTTGTATTTTTAGTAGAGACGAGGTTTCACCATGTTGACCAGGATGGTCTCCATCTCTTGACCTCGTGATCCACCCGCCTCGGCCTCCCAAAGTGCTGGGATTACAAGCATGAGCTACCGTGCCCAGCCTCCAATCAGAGAATTTTTGTTAGGTAATGACTACAGGTACTATGGGAGGATTATCACTCAGTATTAATTAGCTCCTGGCTAAGTGAAGGAGTTTATCGATGTGAGTTTTGCTCATCTCTGTATGCTTATCTGCTGTGTCCAGAGTCATTCCTGAATATTAGCCACATGACCTAGTGTAACATTATGGTTCTGTTTGTCTTTGTATTCCTTTTCAAAATGTATATACCTGGTTGACTTTTCATACTAGAACTGCTGAATTATGAGTTTGTCTGCTTATTTTTTTAGTATTTCAACTGTTTTAATATAACAATCCCAGTGGAACTTGTGCATTTTAAAGGGTTAGATTGATTGGTAGGGTATAAAGGAAATACATAAGGAATTAGGAAAAACATAAATTAGATGAGAAGGTCAAGACCCAAGGAAATATCTGGGCCATAAGGACTTATTCGCTTATTATGACTAACGTGAAAAGTGAAGCACTATTTTTTTTTATATAGCTTTCAATATCTAGTTCTTGGAGAAATGCAAGGTTTCTCTTGCATGTAGCTCTTACACAAATTTATCAGATGGAATGTCCTATCAAGGTATAGTAGTTAACATGAGGTTTAGTATTGGATATACCATACTTTAGTGAGCTGTTCTTTTGGTTTACTAGATTTGTGACCTTAGGAAAGTTACTTAGCTTCTGAATCTCAGTGTAGTATATGTTGAAAGAGAAAATAATTGGCATAGCAGTAATTTTTTTAAGAATTCAATGAGCTAATGCATATAGAACACTTTGCAGATGAGTTGATACGTAGTAAAGACTCATTAATATTATTTTGAAAGTAGTCTTATTATTATGATAATGGTGGTATTATAAAGATGTTTTTAAAAGCATTATTCACTCAAGCTGATAGCAAAGCACCAAAGTATAGGTCAGTGAAAACTCTTCTAAAGGCAGCCAAGATGCTATGGTCCAAGAGACTACATTTGATGGCGGAGCTTGGTCCTAGAATAATGTAGATTGTTGACATTAGTCACCAGTACTGATGGGATTATGCTGTACCCTATGCCCCTCAGATAGGATAGAAGAAGATTGAGAACATTTTTCTTTTCTTTTTTTTTTTTTTGGAGACAGGGTCTAGCTCTGTGGCCCAGGCTGGAGTACAGTGGCACAATCTCTGCTCACTGCAAACTCTGACTCCTGGGCTCAAGCCATCCTCCAACCTCAGCTTCTCAAGTAGCTGGGACTGCAGGTGTGCACCATCACCTCAGCTACTTTTTTTGTAATGACTGGGTTTTGCTATGTTGGCCAGGTTGGTCTCGAACTCCTGACCTCAAACAGTCCACTCACCTCAGCCTACCAAAGTGCTGGAATTATAGGCATGATCGCTATACCTGGCTGAGAATCATTTTTCTAAAAACACAAATCTATATAGAAGAAGGCCCAATAAGAGTAGTGATTCCCAGTGTAGATCACATTACTTTCCTCCTGTGATTTGGGTACATACTATTCAAATTAGACATTCATTTACATTTCACTATTAGGCAGTGTTCTGGATGCTGAGGCATAACAGAGTAAAAGAGGAAGAAATTCTTGCTGTCATAGACCTTACATTCCAATTGGTACGGGTAGACAACATATGGAGGATAAGTATTACGAAGAAAAATAAACAAATTAACGGGACTAGGAAAATCCTTGGGGAATGAGATGATGTTACTTTATATAGGGTTGTCATGGAAGGCCTGACTTATGAAGTAACATTAGGGGAAAATCCTAAAAGAAGTGAGGGAGCGAATCGGGAATATATCAGGTGGAGGACCTTTTTAAGAAATATGAAAGGGAAAGTCAAGAGAGACAAGACAAAGGCCGGGCGCAGTGACTCACGCCTGTAATCCCAGCACTGTGGGAGGCTGAAGCAGGCAGATCACCCGAGGTCAGGAGTTCAAGACCAGCCTGACCAACTTGGAGAAACCGCATCTCTACTAAAAATACAAAATTAGCTGGGCATGGTGGTGCACACTTGTAGTCCCAGCTACTTAGGAGGCTGAGGCAGAAGAATCGCTTGAACCCGGGAGGTGGAGGTTGTGGTTAGCTGAGATAGCACCACTGCCCTCCAGCCTGGGTGACAGAGTGAAACTCCATTTCAAAAAAAGAGAGAGAGAGAGAGAGAGAGAGAGAGAGAGAGAGAGAGAGAGAGACAGACAGACAAGAAAAAAGAAAAGTCAAAAATTACTCTAACAGGTGTCTTTAAGACGTGGTCAGGAGACTTGACTGGAGTTTGTGAAGGCTGCTTGCCCAGCTGCTACCTCTGCTGAGTTGGAGGACAGTTCAGTTTAATCCTGCAACTCCCACATTCATGGAACCCATTTTGTGAAATATTGTGAAATCCTGGCACAGATTTGTCTCTTCTGCAGATGTAACTAGATATAGGACAAAGAAATACAGGGAAAGAGGGCAAGGGCTCACACTTCAGGGGAGTATATTACTCTAGGTTATTTGACCTGAGCAACTTGAAGAATCAAATTGCTATTTGCTTAGAGTTCTTTAGTAGGGTGGCAAAGGCTGCAAAGGAGTAGTTTTGAAGAGGAATGAGGAGACTTAGAATTCAGCTTTTGACTCATTAAGTGAAAAAATATTTACTAAATGTCCAAATATAAATGTTGAGGAAAGACAGCCAAGGAAATGTTGAGGAAAGTCAGTGCCAGTGGTTTGGATATAATCTAGATTTTAGGAAATAAGATAAAACTAGAAATGTAAATTTAGGAGTTAGCATACAGAGCAATGTTTTTTAAACTATGAGTTATAACTTGTTCTTAAGGCATGAAATCCATTTAGGGAGTTGGGAGTCGGATTTTTTTTTTTTTTTTTTTTTTTAGACGGAGTTTCTCTCTTGTTACCCAGGCTGGAGTGCAATGGTGCGATCTCGGCTCACCGCAACCTCCGCCTCCTGAGTTCAGGCAATTCTCCTGCCTCAGCCTCCTGAGTAGCTGGGATTACAGGCACACACCACCATGCCCAGCTAATTTTTTGTATGTTTAGTAGAGATGGGGTTTCACCATGTTGACCAGGATGGTCTCGATCTCTCGACCTCGTGATCCACCCGCGTTGGCCTCCCAAAGTGCTGGGATTACAGGCTTGAGCCACCGCGCCCGGCCTGGGAGTCGTATTTTAATATTAATGGAAAGTTTTAATTATAGACACATACATACCTTTGTGTCCCCTGGGAGATAAATATAAAATGTTGTTTTGTGTGTGTGTGTGTCTGTGTGTGTGTGTCTGTGTGTCTCTGTGTCTGTGTGTCTGTGTTTACCATGGATTGCAGAGAAATAGAGTGGTAAAGAGTGATATAGGGGATCAAGTGGTGAGTTTTTGTTGTTGCTGTTTTGTTTTTATTTTAAATGACAGATACTACATCTATTTCTGTGCTAATGGAAATGATTGAAGAGAGAGGACAGGAAATAGCTGATTGAAGAGTCAGAGGAGCAGTTGCTGGAGTAATGTCCTTGATTAGATAACAAGGGATTCCATTCCCTGGATGGTTGCCATTAGATAGGAGCATGGCAGTGTAATCCATAATATCGGGAAGGAAGGCAAAGAATATTTGGTTCATTATTCAGGTATCTTTTGAGATGTATTTGGAGCTTGTGAAAGTTCTCTTCTAGCAATTGCTTCTGTTTTATCACTAAAACAAGAAGCAAGGTTGACACCTGAGAGAGACAAAGAAAGAGAAGATGTTGGAGTTTAAGAGGAGAGAAAAGGTCTGTCTAGGGGAAGGAATCAGAAATGGAGTAAATGGCCTGATTCCATTAAGGGCCCATTTTAAAGGTAGTGGTTATGAATTTAAAATAAGATCGATCAGGTTGGTTGGATTTTTTTTTTTCCCTCTTCAGTTACATTCAGCTACACAGGCATATTTAACTGGAACCAGAAGTGGAATTTTGTGAGACAGTATAGCGAAGGTAAAGGAAAGAGTAACAGGGTGGTTAAGTCTGTTTTTTTTAGTTGCCAAACCAATTTTTTTTTTTTTTTTTGAGACGAAGTCCACACTGTCTCCTGGACTGGAGTGCAATGGTGCAATCTCAGCTCACTGCGACCTCTGTCTTCCAGGTTTATGTGATTCTCCTGCCTCAGCCTCCCAAGTAGCTGGGATTACAGGCGCACACCACCACACGCAGCTAATTTTTGTGTTTTTAGTAGAGACAGCGTTTCACTATTTTAGCCAGACTGGTCTCAAACTGCTGACCTCATGATCCGCCCGTGTCGGCCTACCAAAGTGCTGGGATTACAGGCATGAGCCACTGTGCCAAGCCCTAAACCAGAATTTTT